TGGTAGAGCCCTCTCACTCACTCTGGTTCTCTTTTCCACCGGATGTCCTTGTGATATAAAGGAAGGTATGGTAGTTGAAGATGAGCTATGGAAGGCTAATGTACATGGAACCTTTACAAGTTTTAACAAGGTTGCTGGTTACTTTGGCAATTAACCTCCTGCCTTTACATTTAAAGAAAAATGGCATTTCACTATTTCTTCTTGTAGCAGAATTGCTTTAAGAGAATTGCTGATAAATATCCAGAGATTGGATATTGAATTTCTCTAAGCCAAAATGCAACAGATCCTTCCCACTCTTTTGGAGACAACATAGGTTCTTAAATTCTTGCAAAAATCCGAAGCTTTGGGGGAAAAGGGAAATTTTATAAGATTTGCAGGTTTGCATTTTAGCTCACTCTTTCTTAAACCACGACAACATAATGAAAAGGAAAAATCACAAAAGAGGACACAGCTACCGGCTTCACAGAGGCTGACATGAGTGCCTGGCACCCAGTGGACTGCCAGGAAGGAAGGAATAGGCACCTTAAATTGGCCAGGAACTAAAACAGTTGTTAGCAGACACATACTGATTAGCCACTCTACCAGGATCAGGAAGTTCCTCTGGCCATTCCGACCACTGATGTTTGACTGAACTTGTGAAAGGGGCATGTCTAAGTATACAGTAACTCTCTCTCTCTCTCTCTCTCTCTCTCTCTCTCTCTCTCTCTCTCTCTGTGTGTGTGTGTGTGTGTGTGTGTGTGTGTAACTGGGGTTCCTGACCATGTGCAAGTCCCTGTGTAAGCTACTGCCACCAGCAACCCCCTGGTAGCATCTGGGCTTCAGTCCACAAGCCAATGGTTCTTGTGAGTTCTTCCTTCCTGCCCCTCCACTTGAAAGGATGCACGAGGAAAAGGGTAGGAAGGGCAGAAGCAAAGGGCATGTGGCTTTTCATCCGTCTTGTTCTGAACCAGATCAGGGGAGCTCTCTCCCAACAAACTGTTTCGAAAACTCCTTTCAGTTTAAAAAGAGCTTTGCCATGCATTCATGAAACAAAAGTTCGAGTCTTTAGATCCAGGCCAAGCATGGAAAGCTAAACTGAGTAGGCAAATTGGAGCTTCCTTCATTGTCTTTTTTCACCTTAGTTCTCAATGAGGAAAAAACAAAGTGGAAATTGTGAAAATGTGGCCAAACACAGATGGGTTGGTTCTGTTTTTCCTCCTTTGGAGCCCCGAGCAGAGTTAATTTACAGCTGCTATAAGTTGCTCACAAGAGATTCAAAGCCTTGTAAACAAGGCTCTCTGGAGACGAACAAAAGCAATGGTCATTCTCTCCCTTAGCTCTGGGTTGCAAAGAATTCCCGAAAAGCTGCCAATATTTACATATGCAATAGCTGATTCAATCTTTTATGTGAGCCCGAGACCATTCAGGGAATAGAAAAACCTCAGGAGTGGGATTCCAAAATGGCATGTTTATGTGTTTCATTCTTTTCTTGGTACACTCTTGACTCCAATTAAGAACGCTTTAGGGTTTGTGAGCTCGGGGAACTTCCTTGTATTCTAAAGAAAAAAGCTGATGGCTCACATGCAGCCTTCTTGCTGAATGTTCCAACTTCAATTCACAACACCTGGATTTCTGGAAAACATCCCTTAATTATTATTTCCTTGAGGAGATATACATTTGAACTGTCAAAGGAAAAAGCAGTGTCTTGCTTAGAGCCATTTGTACCTGACCCTTGGATAATTTTCACTCCTCTCACTCATTCAGCGTGCAATCAAGCCAAACAGAAATACTTTTAGCTTAATTTCGGACTTGCTTAAATCTCTCCCACTGAAAGCACAGGGACTTCCAACTTTGGCTACATTGTGTCTGTGCACATCAGGCATCATTATTCAGTGATTGTAATTTATATAGAAGTATCTTGGTAAAAGGCATAATCCTAAATCGTGATCCCTTTAAAAACGACAGAATTCCAGATTCACTAAAATGACACAACTTCATTTCACTCTGATCAATGAAGAATATTTGGCCCTTGTAATATCCCCATGTCATTTGCACAATAGAGGATACTGTCAAAAGGGTGCTATTGGCTGATTATAAAAGTCATGTTGGGATTCAAGAGGACCCTAAAGATAAATGCTGTAACTGCTCAGCCAAAACGGAAACACCGATGGGTCGATTCTTTTTCACCCCAGGAACAGAGGGAGCTGCTGTCTACTAACTGGTCCATGGAGTCCAGCTTTGTGGTCAAACTTGGACTGTCAGGACTCCGCACTCTTTGGGAAGGGATTTTTCCAGCCCTGCTGGGGATGCTGGGAGTCAAGTCTGGGTGCTCTGTCCTCTGCCAAGTGGGTGTTGGGTCACCAAGCTGCAGTCTCTTCCTTCCTTTTTCAACTCCACATAACCCAATAAATCAGTCTACACCATAAAAGAAATACAGTCAATATAATTACATCATAGCAAAGCTGAAAATTGACAAACCAATTCCAATAGTTGATAAACAATTCCCATTTTACCTAGAAGTGATTAATAGCTGTTTCCTTCTGTACAATATCCAACTAAATAAGTTAGTAATTAAGTTTTATCAATGGACCAATCATCCTGTTCTTGAAGAGGTTCGGCAGCTTTTCCATTTGGCCGCCAGTTCAAACATCTAGACCCAGTTCCAAATACTGATTTCCAAAGAATCATTCAAGCATTCAAACAGCATAAGTACTAGATTAGTTAGAAGTATAGATCTCATCCTAGCTGTACTTTCTTTATAACCTGCTTGCAATTCGGAATTTTAGAGTGCGGCCATTAAGAGGAAAATAGCCAGCATTTACAAATATGGTACACACTGCCAACATCTGACATTTCTGCTCCCGTATAATCCACACTTGATCTATCAAATATTTACGCTCATATTCGGTGCAGTGTTAGAGCAGGAATCATGGTACTAATGCGGAGGATATGGGGTACCTTCTCGATCGAATCCACAAAAGAAGTGCATCAGAAAAATGCACACTTTGAACCTTTATTCAAGGGGGCGAGTTTGCATTTGGGTATGAGAGAACATACTTAAGAACATACGAGTCACCCTGGATCAGACCAAAGATCCATCTAGTCCAGCACTCCATGCAGAAGGTGGAACCAGCTGCTTGCAGGATCCCTCAAGCAGGATGATGTGCAAGACCTCCTCTTGCCCAAGCTTTGCAACAACTGTGGAGGCAATACATAGCCAACAAGACTAGTAGCCACTGATAGCCTCTTCTTCCATGAATCTGCCCGATCCCTTCTTAAAACGATTCAGATTTGTGGCCATCACCATTCTTGTGGCACTAAATTGCACAGTGAAATTCCCTCAATGTCCTTTTTCAGATAAGGTGACCAGAACTACCACAATTCCCTGTAGCTGCACAGAGGATTTGCATAAGTGATGTAAGATTCTGGCAGTTCTATTTAGTATTCGGTTCCACATTATACCCAGCATGGAGTTTGCCTTATTCACAACAACTATACATCGGGCTGACATTTTCATCTATTTGTCCACTACTACCCCAAGGTCCCTTTCTTGATCAGTCACTGCTAGTTCAGAACCCATCAGCATGTACTTGTAATTGGGATTTTCTTTGTCTATTTATTTATGTTTTAAAAGTGTCCTTTATTTGGAGTTCTTTTCCTGGGAATTCTGGCCTTTAAAAAAGATGACTGTGTTTCCTACATGCCCCTTCCTCTTATATTCCTGGAATATTTCAGGGTGCAACCGCTTCATAGTCTCATTTCAATATAAACATGTCCTCATTCCCTTCCACCTAAGATACACAAGTAAATTTCAAAGCTCTGATTTTGCACTGAACTGCATCACAGGCCAAGATGATGCTTGTGTTCTTCCAGAACCTGATCCAATGTTTAGAATTAAACTTCCTTTTCAACCTCTCTAGGGGAGGGAGATCGGAGCCGAAGCAGAGTGGCAAGTTATTTTCACATGGTTCATCCCTAGCCTTCTCCACCGCCACCATTCCAAACATTAAATCATCCCCTATTTTCCAGCAGGTTCTTCCAGAAAGATAGTTCTACAGGGAGCCAAGAGATGGACACCAAGACATACAAAATAAACTTCTTTTGGAAAGAACATCTGAAATAAAGCATTGGCAGGCAATAAGAAGCAAAAAATGGAAGTGCTACCAGACTTCACCAGCAGTCCCACTGTTCATTTCATGGACTCTGTCCACTGAATCCCAGGGCCTGAATCTCAGGAGACCCGCCATCTCTAGAAACCAAGTGTTTGTGTGCCTCGGAGCACTTATTCACATCCTCATACAGCATGACTATGTTTCTTTAGCTGGCATTTCAGATGGTTTTGTTCTTAGGAATTCCACTGGGAAACCAGGCAATATATGAACTCTGTATACTGTGCAACTAAGCAAGCTCTTGTTTGTTGCTATTATTTCCTCCTGTTAGAAATAAGCTTTAGGTATTCAAAAGGTTCCCTTTATTCCAGATGCAACTGTTCTTTTCAGTGAATAGTCCACTTCTAATCTGCAATGACCATTTTAAACAAAGGAAACATAACACTTATACTTCTTCTATGCTTTCAAGATAAAAAGAAAAGAACAGTAAGCAGAGTTAATAGTAGATAAATGTGTACGGAGTTAAAGATAAATCATAACCCCAACAGTAAAACTGCAAAATAAATATATCTTAGGACTTTGTTTACCAGTGGCAGTAACACAGAGCATCAAAATCATCCACGGAGACTGCAATTGTCTATTTAGCAATATAAGAGTAAATCATATTTTTGTTGATGTTGCTAAGTGTTATTTAATAGAAACATTTGCTTTCCCAGTAGATTACCACTGAAACCTGTTTAATATGTTGAAACTCTAATTTTGCCAAGTGCACTCTTCTCATCAAGAGCGCAAAAGAGTGGCGCTTTCTCTCTAGAGAGCCAGCAAAGCAGTAATGAACTCTAATGGCCATCCAATAAAGTTTATCTCCTCGTGGTTACGAATAGCAAGGCATTTTTCCATGTGTGTGTTTACCTCTGTGGCTGGTGAGCTCTCTGGATCCAGATGGCAACGGTGTATACTGCCCTTGAGGAGGCATGTTGGAGCCCTTGGCTGAGGCCTGCAAGAAAAGGAAATTTTATACTGTGATATCAGTGTGTAAATCCAGCTAAAAGGATATACTCTCACAGATGACAGGGCCAGCCATAAGATTAGATATACAACTAATTTTATAACCCTGATGTGCCAAAGTACTGAGAACGCCCATTTGTTCTGTCAGAGAATACGTTTCAAGTGACCCGCATAGTGAGCAATCTCTCATCACTTTTATTTTTAAAGATCTTCCCCGCCCTCTCTCCTTTTCAAAGTTCCCGGCCTTTTCTCATTATATGCCTGCATTTTACTGCTGCGGAGATTTCTGTTTCTTCCCCCTTGATCTCTTGACCCTCCGTGAAGCCCCTTTATGGATCATCATGCAGCTACCCAAAGCGCCTCCCCAAATCACTTTGGCAAGGTCGGATTTGTGCTTCCTTTCCGGCAGTGATGGGCTCACACACAGATCTCTGCACACAGAGCTGCTCCCATCTCCGGGCTGTGACATCTCAGGCTGCAGGTGAGGACAGACTCCACGGAGTCCTCCACCCTTGGCACAAATCCCTCGCTCTTAAAACGACACTTCCCCACCAGCTTTTTTCCTTCTGGTGCGATTTCATCTTTAGAAGCAGTCCTTGCACTGTACCCTAGAACTTGCTTCCACAGTAAGCGTGGATGTGGACAGCTGAATTGGCAGGCCAAGACAATCTGCAGTAAGTTTAAGAGGATGTCATGCTGATTTGGCTGCCTTTAGGCTGAAGATTATCTGGGCACTGCTTCCACCTACCTTCACACATTATTTACAACACCCTAAGTCTTCCAGCTGCACCATGGATCCCTGGATTTGATCCCGAGGACTTACAGCCAAGGTGAGCCTTTCTACAGCAAAAAACCACCTGGAGATCTTTGGCTATTGGACAGTATTTAAATATAATGATATACAGGATGTATGCATATATAGCATTACGTAAAACAAACCATAAGGACAGATTTCATTTGCAGCTATAAATATAAAGTTCTGTCAAATTTGACTTTCCCCAAAAAACTGAAGTAACTCTCAGAATAACCCTCATAAAAACATTTGGTTTGATTTTTTTAAAAGCTACCTGTGTACACACACTGTGTGTTCCCCAAGAATTCCTTTATATGACTGCATTTGCTAGCAGGAATTGGTTGAACAATATCTTGATATTGCTCAAGTTCATTTTTAAAGCAAAGGATGAGTTTAATTTGTAAATCTGTATCGTTTGAGTATATATTCCTTTAAAAGATGTTTTAATATTAGAAAGGTGCTACCACAATGCTTTGAACAAGACCTGCAAGGTGAGTGTTAAGCGACCAGTCCAGGAAAGGTAATTGCATCTATTGATCATTAAACCCATCCTCACCTGTGCTGCGAGGATGCATTTCAGAAACAAAACAAAAGCCATGCCCAGACAAGAAAATATTTGCTTATGCTACAGGTAAAAGTCTAAAATGGCCCATGAGCGATTGCACAGGCAAATTGGTTCAGCCAGCTCTCCTCCTTCCCTGGTACAATTCTGCATGGCACCCATTAAAACTGACCAGGGCTCCAATCAGCTATTTGGGTGCGGGGCAAGGAGCGGTGGACCTGCCTTCCGCAACAGATAATCCACATGCTTGTCCCTATTTTGAGTGGGCTAGTCTTGCCCTACATCCCCCTTTAAAGCCCAACCCGGTTGAGATCTCCACTCTCCTTCATGCATTTGCCTCCCAAACCACAGAGGTGGGCAGGTTTGCTTATTATTATTATTATTATTATTATTATTATTATTATTATTATTATTATTAAAACATTTCTACGCCATTTGAAGAGGAGGGCTACTTTGTTTGCACAGTTGTTGAACTGATTTGTGTATGTTGAACAGAGAAACCTATCTGAATAATAGGAACGGTTTTCCCTTTAGCTGTGCCAGAGATTAAGATGATCACATGGCAACAGGTAACCTCTGGAACCAGCCAGGGTGGAGAAGCACTTGCCTGCTGGATCTTGCCAAATTATAGCAAGGGATTGTGTCCATCGGTGGCTCTCACTTACTCAAGGAATGGCAATGAATTTGTGTTGGCCTCTCCTACCCACCTGTGTGACAACCCATTCTTTTCTGGAGGACTCCCAATTTTAAAGAAGAGCTTTAGGGTGGGGTTCCTTGGAATCGTGAAGAGCAGGTGCATAATTTCTGTGCAACAAAGCACTTTCTGATGAAGTCAAGCCTCCTCTGAACACAACCCAAATTTAATATTTATATAAAACATGGTTTTTCACAAAGAATTTTGGTAGTGTCAAAAATGTCTCGGCTTGTGAGCACGCCTTACAAAACCTTTGCGTGTCTTTATATACGTTGGCTTCACTATGACAGCATTTGGTCAAATCCAGTTGGCTGTGCAACATTTATATAGGACTTCCCCCCTTCATATTCAAAGTGCTTCATGTACATGATGGTCAAGCTTGGTAGAGTATTGATCATGGTCCGTTCAGGACAAACTCGGCCTTGAAGACACATGTGCTTTTTCGGAACAGAGAAAGGCAAAAGGAACCGATAGGCTTGTCCTTAGCTTAATCCAGCTTAACTTCATGAGTGTCACTCCACTAAAAGAAGCGCATCGTACAATACCTCCAGAGTGATGCTGCCAACCTCATACCCTCCAACATTGCTCTGCTGAAAACAAAGCAGACCCATATGTAACTGAAGCACTCCTGTTCTAGCACTAAGGGTCACTCTCCCCGCAGACCTTCCCCACATATAATTTTTCACATTGCTTGAGAGACATTTCTGCCCAATCCTATGTCCATGACTTTAACTGTGCACGTTCAAAGCAGGTGCAATAGCAAAATGACCACAGTCCGATTCAGTTTATGTGTACTTTATGTATTTTAAAATGTAGAGCCTGCAAGTTGGCTATTTAGGGGTTTCCTTTAAAAAAAAAAACCCCCACGTGCAGAACTTGATGTTTTGGTTCACAACAGTTCTGTTTGTATCTATTACAGAATAACTACAAGTCAACAGCATACAGGCCAATCCTATATAGGTCAACTCAGAAGTAAGTCCCACTGAGTTCAAACTTTTCCCCATGTAAACATGATTAGTACTACAGTCTAAGCAGTTTTGCTTTTGAAAATGGTCATGGGGGAATGATAGAAGAAAAACTGGTGTGCATGGATATACTTACAGGTAGTTTTTTAAATGTAAAATCCCTCCAGTATTGGGCACAGGGCTCAGATGATAGGGACAAGGGCAAGTGGAGTAGAAATGTGTGTCCACCTTGAGCACCCAAGGTGAGTTTGGGGCATGCAACTTGTCCCGTCTTTGGACTGCCAGGCAGACAAGTCTGCAAGATCTAAAATGGTATGCAAAGCACAGGTGTATTCGCTGCACTCCATTTTGACTTTGTCTGCAAATTCAGGGTAGTATGTTTAAGCTTTTGTCACTTACTTAAAGGATGACCTACCCCCACTCCATGTTTCTCCAACGGATCAGAAAAGATGATGCAGCTCCATTTTAGACCTTTCAGATATTTTCTGTCTGCTCAAGGGCTCTTAGTTGAAACCCTGATAAGAGCAAAGATTTCTCTTCAGTACTTTTAATCTCAATTTAGGCTGTTGACAGTTTGATGATAGCTTTTCTTAAAATTACTGGAAGGAAACTCTGCCTTTTCAGCAAATACCACTGACAGATCAAAATTCAAGAACTTCTAAAAAGGATACTGGAGTGAAGGGACAATTTAGCTTTATTTTCCATGTTAAAAAAAGCAAGAACAGAAGAGTTTCTTAGAGGCCTTTTGCTGCCTTGCTCTACATAATTCCCTGTCAAGGATACAAGAGGCTCATTTCCTCCCCACTAAGTGTTCAGTTACAAATGCTAGTTAATTCCACATTAAGATTATTTTGCAGGAATGACAACTGGCTGCAAAGTCTTAATTCAAACAACATGAATGAAGTCTCTGAAAGCAAAAAAGAGCAGTGAGAGTTTCCTGTTTTAAACTACTGAATGACACAGGGCCCTTAGCAATTTTCCAAAAGTGAATTGTAAAGATGAAGTACAATGCTTTAAAATTTGCCACAATATTTTGATAAGGCATGATTGACAAGTGACAGCTCATGTCTACAGATTGTTCTGCCAGCTGCATCTAAAGTCTCAGTTACACTGCAGAAATGACCTTGAATGGATCTTGATGACAGATACAGAGAAAAAAGGGGTGCAAACAGAAATTAAAAGTTATCTCTCTTGCCTATGAGAAAGCATGAATAAATGTTTCAGTAAGAGTTTTAGCTAATGATGGATGAACTGTTGTTTACCATCCACTCTGTTCTAGATATAATATAGAACTGGATTGAGTTTCCTCGCAGAAAACAAATGCATCCTTCAGTAGCTCCAAAGCCCTCCTGCCATTCCCAAGCCATCCCCTTGGGCAAGTGAAGCAGGGGCTGCTAAAAGCTTGCCCTCCTGCTTCACTGAGGGCCTGGCTTCTCAACCCCGCAGTTGTTAGGATATGTCAAGAAAAAGCATGTGGAAGGTAAGCTCGGCGTATACGTGTCCTCCAAAGTGACCAACCAGCTTGTAAGAATATCTCCAAAGATGGTGAGCTCCCCCCCCCATTTATTGTATAATGTTAGACCATGTAAAAATGGAAGTGCTTCATGAATCTGTTTGCAACTAGCTGATCAATGCATTCACAAGCTTACATGAATAATAAGGTACTAAAAAACCCAATAGAATTTCTTGTGCCTAAAAGCACCCTTATGGCAGGCACACAATAAACAGGTGGAAAATTGTTAGCATCGCCATCCAATGGACTGCATAAAGACATGAGCATGAGGGCAGGTGGTGTGGTGTGAAACACCTCTGAGAAATTCTCCTACAGAAATTCTTCTCTTACAACATTTGGGTCCTTCATCAGAAGAGTACAATGATATCCCACCGACTGTTCTCTGCTACACAGGCAAATACACATGTAAATTTCATATTTTACATTTGCCGCATATTTGGTGGCAGGTTGGACGTGTGTGTG